TCTATGTATTCCATCTGGCGAGGTCCATGTAGACAGTCGTCTCTTAGGCTGTCTAAAGAAGGTATTTGAAATGAACAAATCATCGATTTTGCAGAATTCTATCATGCATTCTCCAGCATCGTTTCTATTGCCAAGGCCTTGTTTTCCAACTTCTGGTCCTTCCTCTTTGCTCTCCACCTTTGCATTCCAATCACCAGTAATGATCAATACATCCAGATTGCATGTTTGCTCAGTTTCAGATTGAAGAAGTTGGTAGAATTCTTCTATTTTATCCTCATTGGCTTTAGTGGTTGGTGCGTAAATTTGAGTAATAGTGGTATTAACTGGGCTTCCCTGTAGGCACATGAATGTTATCCTATCACCGACAGCATTTTGTTATAATAATTTGGCTTTATCTTCTCCAGCTGATCTTTGAAATAATCATGATTGTGGGGTTATTTGGACAGTGAAAAAGGTACAATGAGAATCAGAAACAACTTAGGATGTAGCAGTTCTCCAGCTAGGAGTGCCTCTTCTCTGCCATACTGCAGGCACACCTCACTCTTGTTTTCTGACTCTCAGCCTGTGGCCCTTAGGCCTCTTCCCTGCTCAAGCAAGTGTTCTATAACTCCTTAAGCCAATCTGTAAATGCCCAAAGGGTACAATCTGTAAATGCCCAAAGGCTGCAGTCCAGCCTCCTGCTCTTAGGCATTCAACTTTTCCCAGTCCATGGGCCTAGAAGTGTGCAGTTGCTGTCTCTCCATGCCACTTCTCTGCTATCCCCCACTTTTCCAGTTAGGGGTCTTAGGCTCCACTCTTGCTCTTCTTTCTTCATGGTCAGATTGTCTGTTCCTGCTTCTGAGATGGCTTCTTTTAAACCTAGTGAGATGGCAAAACTAACCAATCTCGGCATTAGAGTCCTGTACACCCTATTTACCTGGTCCCACCCAATCATTTGGTGGGAATTAAGAAAAGCCATTCAAATAAATTCAAGGTACCTCAGTCAACCTCCTATATGTTCTAGCCATTGTCTTTCATACTTGAAGAATTAACTTCCTCCTTTCAGTTAAAGCTATATAATCACAATTAATCCTGTTAACAATTGAATCGTAAAACCATATCAGCAACTTCCCACTCTCTTTTCCCCAGACCCATCTGGTAAAGAGGTAACTATTCACTGGAGACTCTCCTTGTCCCCCTCATTCTGAGATTTAGCACACTTATGAAAGCTTGTAAACCCACCACTTCATACTTTTATCTCCTCATTTTTTATAGCAAATTTCTAAATTGTTCATCCTTATCAACCCATTACTCTGAGGAGACAAGCATGTTCCTTGATCTAAAGAATCTTTTATGTTCTGAATTGAACTTTGAGCAATTGCATCCATAGATAAAAGTCCAGTTCATCAAATTGTAGCAATTTATACCTGCTCATAGTAGCAAACATCTTTCTCTTCATCTGGTTGGATTCTGATCCACTCAGCTCTAGCCATCTAAGCTAGGTCACACAAGTACCAGTTGCAAGTTTGGAAGTTCACAAATTCCTCCCTACAATTAAGGTCACCTTCCTCTGCCTCTCTTAGTCCTTGCCCTAGGCATTAGAACAGTGCCTGCAATCAGAAGTTCACACAATTCCCTTAAACTTCAAACCAGCCACCCCTTTCTCTTTCTCACCTCTAGTTCCTGTGGACCAGTTCAACAGGTGCCAATGGAGCATGTTCAAATTCAGCCCATCTCTATTGTTGTCTTTACCCCACTTGCACTCAACAAGTAGACCCAGGGGGGTTCCTTTTAACTTATAGTCCTTGAAGTGGTTTTCTCTGATGAGCACAGACTTTTCTTGCCTTGATTCCTCCAAGGCAAGTGGCTCCCATGAAACACTAAAAGACAAATAGTCTTTTTTTTTTTTTTTTTTTTTTAATCTCTTCTGAAGTTCTTTCAGCCATAAATCTGTTCTCTCAGTGGTTTTTGGTTGGGTCTGTGTGTCTTTTCGAATGCAAAGATTCTGGTGGAGCTTAGGATTCCACCTAAACCCCATATTCTACAAAGACTTAAAACAAAAACATTTTTCTCTTGGGCAAATTCTAACTTCCCTTTTTAGCAAATGAAATCAAGTATAGGCTAAAGGTGAGCTCACAAACGCTCTATAATCATAATTTCCAATATTTTCTTTTACACATGTGTGTCTTTTATATACATGTGTGATAGAAATGAATATTGGGAATTATGATTACAGAGAGCTACACTTGATTTTATAATAGTACATGGGAAAAGGCACCCTGGTGTGGCACTGGAGGATAAGCATTGGACTGCTAACCACAAGATTGGTGGTTCAAACCCACTAGGCTCTCTGACTTGAGGACATTTAACTACAGTAACACATAGGAAAGCTCAATATCCATAAGACAACACATAACATCTTTTTTAAAAATTCTCAAATTCAGTCTCTTCTTTTCCATCCGTAGATGGACTAACCACATTTGTATGTATATGTGCCTGGGGCAGGGTGGATCCAGTAAATCCTGGCCCCATCATCCCTCTTGTTTAACCAGCCTAACTTCTGCTAGAGAAATTTCTAACTCCAGGTCTTTGCATATTTCATTGTATGAATAATACTTTGTCTTTTTCAGGCTACCCTATGAAATTTTCTGTTAAGTTCTTTCACTTCATCATTTCTTCTATTTACTTTAGCAACTTTGTGTTACAGTGCAAGTTTCAGGCTTTCAGCTTCCACTTGAACTCAGATATGATCAATTATCTGTGTGTTCTGCCTTCAGCCCCTGACCTTATTCTGACTGGGTTACAATGCTCCTTTAACCAGTCTGTAAATACCCAAAGGGTACATTCTGCAAGCCAGCTTCCTGCTCGTAGGCTCTAAGCTTTACTGGCTCCATGGGCCTCTAGAAGCCTGCAGCTGCTCTGCTGTTCCTGCTTTTCCAGATAGAGATTTCATGCTCCACTCTTGTTCTTCTTTCTTCATGGTCATGGGATCGCCTGTTCCTGTTTCTGAAATGGTTTCGTTTAAACCTAGTGAGATGGCAAAACTAATTCTGGTGTTAAAAGTCCTGTACACCATATTTGCATGGTCCCACACAGTCATTTAGTGGGATTTAAGAAGACTTTGGATAGAAAAGCCATATCAAGTAAATTTAGGGTACCATAGGTTGTGTGAATTCCCAGTGCCAAGCCACTACCACAGTCTCTGCTCATTAAGATGAAAGAAATGTGTGAATACTACGAAAATTCAGTCAGTCAGGAGTTAGGTGCTAGTAAGGGAGACCGAAATTAAGAAAATAATAAGAAGATGAAGGTCTGATTAGTGTATGATGGAATTAGGACAGCAGAAGCGAGGAGTAGAGTTTTAGAGGGTTTGAATTAAACTTTTTGGTGATCTGTTTCCTCTTCATTCTGCCTTTTGGGTGGAATAGGAGAAAGGAAAAAAATAGAAAAAACATGACTTGAAGATCAAAGTTTTGAAAGGTGTGCGCTAGGGATGTATGCTTTCATCAAATGTATTTGGTCTTAATGCTGAGCAACTAATCTGAGAAGCTGGAATATATGAAGAAGAATGTGGCATCAGGCTTGGATGGAGATTTATTAGCAACCTGCTCTATGCAGAATATAAAATCTTATTGGAAATGAACAGGACTTGAAATACTAATGAAGATCAAACACTAGAGCCTTCAGTATGGATCACAGCTCAATATAAAGAAAACAGAACTCCTCACAACTGGATCAATAAATAACATCACAATAAATGGAGGGAATATTGAAGTTCTCAAAGGCTTCATTTGCTTATATCCATATCATTTCTTGTGGAAACCACAGCCAAGAAATCAAATGACATATTGTATTAGGTAAATTAGCTACACAAGACCTCTTAAAATTTTTCAGGAGCAAAGATGTCATTTGAGGACTAAGGTGCAGCTGACCCAAGTCATGATATTTTAAATAGCCTCATATGCATGTGAAAGTTGGAAATGAATAAGGAAGACTGTAGAAGAATTGATCCATTTGAATTACGGTTTAGAGAAGAATATTGAAAGTACTAGGAACTGCCAGAAGAACAAACAAATCTGTCTTGAAAGAAGTATAGCTAGAATGCTCTTTAGAAGCCAGGATGACAAGACTTCGTCCCTTAAAAGGACATATTGGCAGAATCAACCAGTTCCTGGAGAAGGACATCATACTTGGACAACGGGAGGTCCAGTGAAAAAAAGGAATCCCCCTAATGAGATGGCTTGACATGGTGGCAACAAAAATTGGTGCAGGACCCGGTAGGGTTTCATTCGTGTGTAGGGTTGCTATGAATTGGAACTGACTCAATGGCACCTAACAACAGTAATAACAAACAACTTGTCTTGCCTCCATTGTTGCCCTTTTAAGCACAGTGGTACTTGCTAAGGATAAATGAGGCATTAGTGAATTGGTAATGATGAGCCCAAAGGTGGGAGAAGTCATTTTTCAGCAGGGGCAGTATTCTTGGGATTCTGTATGTCCTTTCAGTTATTTTTTACTGTTTTTAGGTGGCATTGAGTTGGTTCAGACTTACAGCAACTCTGTAGAGAGTTTCTGCAGCTGTGACTTTATGGAGCATAAGGTCCCATCTTTCTCCCACACAGCAGCTGATGGGTGTGAACTACCAAACTTGTGTTTAACAGCCTACAGTCCTTTTAATTAGAAGGAGATAATTCTGGGATAATTAAATTTAGAGTAGTCCATAATGTATTTCACAAAGCAGTTAGTTGAATTTGATCACTCATTAATGATTAGCCTTACCAAAGTTAGAAATCCCCATTTGAAGTAGTACTTCTTAAGTTCTTTCACTTTGCTACCTAACAGAGAATTGGGTATTTAAAAGGCAAGGCAGATAAGCAGAGTGTCGGTCAGTGTGCATTTCTAAAATTCTTGATGTCTTGTTTCTTTAGAATCTGTAATATTAATAAATATATTACAAAGGTGACCACTATTATATATTGTTTTGACCTGCTTTGCTTTACATTTATTTGTTTTGTCTTTAGGTTTGATGAGGCAGCACACTCTATTCAGAAAGAAAAAAATATTTACAAGGAAATAGAAAATTATCCAACATGCTATAAGGTATTCTTTGAAATTTTTATTTCTAGCTTTATATTAGATAATCTTTCATATTGGTGTAAGTCAGTACTTATGAGATTATTCTATATACATTTGTCAATTTTTGTAAAATAGTACTTTGTGGCCTCTATCTGGCTAAGATGGAATAGCTTCTCTCTTTCAGGGCTAAATAAATACAAAAGGCCAGGTAACTCTGGAAAGTAATAAAAGTCAGTGAATTTTGAAGAGAATTGCGAACTTGGAGACACATCAGTATGGGAATGATTTTATCAGTTTTTTCCTTCTATTTTTTATGTGACATTACCTTCACAAAAAGGAGCTCTGGTAGCGTAGTGTTTATGAGTTGGGCTGCTAACCTCAAGGTCAGCAGATCGAAACTACCAGCCATTCTGTGGGAGAAAGATTGAGGCTTTCTGCTCCCATGAAGATTTACAGCCTCAGAAACCCTGTATAGATAGGATCGCTGTGAGTCGGAACTGACTCCACGGCACACAATCACCACCACCCCCGTCACAAAAGTCTCCTGTCACAGAGCTGGGCAGCAGAGGTTCTAGCAACTAAAACTTCGAAAGAAACTCCATCTTTCTAAACAGAGGAACTGGGAAAGGAAGCTCCATTTTTTTTTTTTCTTTTCCTCTCCTGGGTTTACTTCAAGGATGTTCTCTTTGTTGTAAGTGCCTCTGAGTCTGTTCCGACTCATAGTGACCTTGTATAGGATTTCCAAGGCTTTAAATCTTAGTGGGAGAAGAAAGCTTCATCTTTTTCCCACAGAGTGACTGGTAGGCTAGAACTGAGTGAGACCTTGTGGTTCACAGTCCACTGCTTATCATATGGGCCACCATGCCTCCCTTACCTCAAGGATAGGCTCTAGTTATAGAGCAACCACAGCAGTAAGCCTTGGTTGTGGAGCTACAGCAGCTAAAACACCAAAAGAAATCTAATCTAACTGGGAGGGAGCGGAGAGAACAAAGGAATACAAAAGAGGAGACTGCGACCCCTAAGTTTGTATGTGGCTTCTTGTAATTTGGGGGATCACTGCCCACTCAAACCATAGCAAAGGTTGTGGGAAGTCCCAAACTAGCTTCTGAGTTGGTTGTTGTTAATTGCTGATTAGTCGGTTCAGACCCAAAGCGACCCTATTTGGGCTTCCGAGGAGCAGCTGGTGAGGTTGAACCACCTACCTTGCAGTTCAAACGGCTTTGCAGTCTTGCGCATCAACCTACAGCGCCACACCACCCAAATAGGGAGTAGATTTTTGAGAACTGAAATAATACTTAAACCACTGCCAAAGCAGCATAGCAAAGACTTGGAATTAAAATTAGAACCACCAATCAGCTAACATGAGACCAAACATTCAGTCTGAACCTTATTTAGGATAGGACATTGTTGTTCTGAGGTGTTGTTGAGTTGGTTATGACTCATAGTGACCCTACGTACAACAGAAGGCACGCTGCCTGGTCCTGCACCAGCCTCATAATTGTTATGCTTGAGACCATTGCTCCTGCCATTGTGTCAGTCTATCTTGTTGGGGGTCTTCCTCTTTTGCGCTGACCATTCACTTCACCAAGCATGATGTCTTTCTCAAGAGACTGGTCATTCCTGACAATATGTCCAAAGTAAGAGGGACGAAATTTTGCCATCCTGATTCTAAGGAGCATTCTGGCTGTACTTCTTCCAACACAGATTTGTTTGTTCTTTTTGGCAGTTCATGTACTTTTAACATTTTTCCCTAAACCATAATTCAAATGCATCACGTCTTCTAGTCTTCTTTAATTTATTGTCCAACTTTCATATGCATATGAGGCTATTGAAAAATACCATGGTTTGGATCAGGTACACCTTATTCTTCAAACTGACATCTTTGCTCTTGAACATTTTGAAGAGGTCTTGTGCAGCAGATTTATTTAATAGAATAAGACATTTGATTTCATGGTTGCTGCTTCCATGAGTGTTGATAGTGGATTCTAGCAAAACGAAGTCTTTGACTACTTCCATTATTTCTTCATTTATCATGACAGTATTAGGATGACTGCCCACTAGAACAAAAGCATAGGTATTTTGAGAATTATGGGAGTGTCCTTAGTATAACATTAAAAAACACCCCAGATATTATTCATAATCACTTGACATATAAAGAACCAAGACAGTTTGACCAGTTTTCAAAAGACAACTGTGATGTTTAAATGATTGTATACTCCTGAGTGTTCTGTGTACATAGGCCCCCCCACCACCCAAAAAAACAAAAACAGAGAGAATAGAAGCAAATACTATTGAATGATGATGCATGGAGTAGATTGTAATCATTACAGTGAAACAATGGTGTAAAGTTGATGTTTTCCCATGTAAACTATCACTCGGTTCACAATAAAAACTTAAAAAAAAAAAAAAAAAAAGACAACTGTGAGATGACCCAGATGTTGGAATTATTCAACTTGAAAGCATCTATTATAACTGATACATGAGATGAAGGTAAACACAGTTAAAATGAATGGAAAGATATGAAATGATAAAAATGAACTAAATGGAAATTTAAAACTGAAAAATATATTAGAAATAAAATACTAGATATGCTTATTTTTATAAGAGAGATGATAGAAGGAAGACTCAGTGAATTTGACGATCAATAGATAGGCATCTATCTGCAGTATAAAGATAAAAAAAATAATTTGAAAAAATAGATTATAAAGAGCTTTTGTGCTTAAACCACCACTTGTTTGTCAGTTGTTTGTACTGTGGTGACTTGCATGTTTTGTAATGGTGGAAACTATTGCACTGGGATTTTAAATACCACCACGATTTCAGTACAACTGCCAAACTGAGACAGACTAGGAAGAAAGAGAAGCATGAACCACTTTTGAATGGTCAGCCACTTACAACCCTTTGAATAGCAGGGGAAGAAGTGCCAGAAAGTGAGCCCCTTCCGAGTTGATCATAATATTTGAATGGAGCAAAGATTTGGGGACCTTAATTTACTGATGGGGACAGTTCATGGTGTCCCTATAAGTCAGAATCGACTCAATAGCACTTAATAACATTTTGCTGACAATAGATAGTATCGGTAATACCCTTGATTTTAGTACTGCTTTTGTTATTGACAGTGGTATCATTGTTTCTTTTATCCTAAGTTTTTATTGATAAATCTTTTAACTATAATTGTGTCTTTACAGATTCGAAAGTTTAGTTGTAGAATTATGGCCCACTCCCATTTTTTTTATTGTCTTTTAAAGATGACATCTAAATACTGATTTCAAAGAAATTTTCTTAAAAATATGTGGTATGTTTACTAAGGGTTTATTAACTCATTGTGGTCCTCAAACTAGCAGTATCACTACTGGTTGGAAGCTTGTTAGAAGTGGCAGAATTGAGCTTGTTTCAGGTCTACTAAATTGAAGTCTTTATTTTTACAAGACCCTGATGTGATTTGTATGCTCTAGTTTGAGAAATGTTGTTCTAGGATATTTGCCCTCTGGTATCCTGTAGATGTTACTAAAAGAATTTATAAATCTCTGTATACAAAGCAAGATCTGAGAGTTAAATTCCAGATGCTTTTTTTTCAGATGCTTTTATTATTGCCAAAGAATTTGACTTTTATTTCATAGATATAAATTTGGCCCATAATTTCCTCTTTTGTTTTAGAAAACAATTGCTCAAGTTCTAGTTCATCTACATAGAAATGACTATGTGGCTGCTGAAAGATGTGTCAGAGAAAGCTATAGGTAAGACGTTGAATTAGTTTGTCTTGACATTGTTATCTTAACATTTCTGTTTCTTAACTAAGATTACTGGTTATACAAATGTTCCTGGCTGTTAAACATTTTTCTCTAATAATAGTTGTACATGGTTACCATTTCGGCTTTTACAGAAAAACTTACAGCTTGTGCTCAATTTCTGTGTTGTTTTTTTTTTTTCCCCTTGGCATCTTCATTGGAATGAATAATTTACTGATTTTTTATTTTGTTGTATTTGCTTTTTTTCTTTAAAAAAAGAAAAGTTCTTGTATCTTAAAAGAAGATCAGAATGAGTGATAGTCTTGTTTCAGATGCTTATTGAGAAGAATCTCAGTCTTGATACTGTTGCTGTTTGGGCTGAATACTTTCTTTGTTGTGAAGGGACTGTCCTGCTTGTGACTGTTTAACAATATCTGTAGTCTCTGCTCACTAGCTGTCAATAGCACTTCTCAGTTGAAACAGTTAAAAATGTCTCTAGATGTTGCCAAGATCCATCCTCCCTGATTAAAAATCTTTGTTTCAAGTGTGGATTGTGTGTATTGTAGCATACCAGGGTTCAATGGAAGTGAAGACTGTGCTGCACTAGACCAGTTGCTTGAAGGATATGACCAGCAAGACCAAGATCAAGTGTCAGAGGTCTGCAACTCTCCACTTTTCAAGTATATGGATAATGATGTAAGTTGGCCATTTCAGTTAGTTTTTTTTATTTCCTCTTGAAATGAAGGCACTCTTAGTAAAATTATTTTTCTACCTTGTGCTTTTGAGATTTTTGGACTCTTTTTTTTTTTAACCTCAAGCTCTACTTCTCATTTCCATTGCATTTCACCTTAAGCTTAGGCTATTTGGATATAACCATATGGGATAACATCCATTTATTTATCCACCTAACTGGGTAAACCATATGTATATTTTTAAATGTAGCCCATTTCTTTTTTCTTAGCTTTTCTCCTTCTGTCTGTTGTAGGTTCAAGAGTTTCTCAACTAACCAGTTGCTGAGTGTATGCAGTTTTGTTTTTGTTTGTTTTTTTTTTGGGAGGGGGGCTCACTGCTTGAAAGAGATCTCTTATGTAATACATTTTCTAATTACATAGCCTTGTTAGAATCCCACCTGTGTGACAACTAGCTGTTGATAAAGGTTATTAATTAAATACATTATGCCTCAGTTAAGTCATCTGTATAAGTGGAGCTTACAGTGGCATCTTGCAAGAATATTGTGAGGAATAGATTCTTTATATTGTTTCTCATATGGCGCCTTCTACCTAGTGAGCTGTGGGTATGAGTCCCTGTTTGGGGAAATTTGTGATTGGGTGATAGCAGCAGGCCAATTTTTTATAATGATATATGAAGAGAAAACCATTTTTTCCCCCCTGTATACTTAGGTTTTTGTAAACTCTTATGTATTTTTGAAAGATGTTATCTCTGGCTTACACAACATACCTTTGTCCCATAATGCTCCAAGTACAATAGAGCATTTCCAGATTATCTCAGGTTCCAAACTGTGGCATATCATTCAGTCTGACTGGCTATTTCCTATCCCATGTCAAGGTCATGAATTAACCTGACAGCAGAGTAATGCAAAGTTGTAGATCTTTAGTCTCTATGGTAACATTTGCTTTCATGATGGTAGAGACTTAGAATCTGTATTTTTATAGATAATTGTTGTTGAGACATCGCATAAAGGGATTCCTGTTACCCTGCTTATAATAATAAGCTTTGTCATTGGCAGTATGCTAAGCTGGGCCTAAGTTTGGTGGTTCCAGGAGGGGGAATAAAGAAGAAACCACCAGCAGCATCACAGGCCAAGCCTGATAGCACCACAGCTACAACTGCTGAGGAGGAGGAAGATGAATACTCAGGAGGACTATGCTAGCACTTCACTCTGCAGAAAAGGAGGAAAAAGAAAAAAGAAATTCTCAGATGCCATTTTATGGAGTTGGAACTTTGGGTATTCCATGCATCATTACAGTTGTTTTTTGAATGCTAACTTGAACTATAATTTTTAGCTATCATTTCCCTGAATCACCCTTCTGCTGCATTTAACACCCGTGAAGCATTGTTTCTTTTCATGATAAGAAGTTTGTGAAGATACCAGCAAGAGTTAGAAGAAAATGTACTGTCATGTTTTAATGTAATCAGTTTTAAAATTTGTACTTCAAATTGTAGAGAAATTGCATTCTAAAGAAATGGGGCAATAGACATAGGTATTCTTCCCTCTTGGGCTCTTATAATTTATTATTCAGAGAAACTTCTTTTCATTTTATTTCATAATTGCTGCTCAAAGTGAAGTTTACTGCTAAAACATTAGCATTTTGAATAAATCTGTTTTGAAAAGGAAATTTATGCTCCATAATATTACAGACATTTGAAATACTAAGTCTTTACAGAGCTAATATTGAAGCAGGAAGCTTTTTCTAGCCTTAGAGCATTATTTAGCCCAGTAAAAAAGTGAATTTAAGGTCGTATATGTGAGTTTATAAAATTTGAAGATAGCATATTAAATCATATTGTAAATGTCCAGTTCAGGGTATTTTTTTATCTAAAAGAGAGTGATTTTCCCCAGAATCACTTGGTTCTTGACTGCCTGGAAGTCATGAAGTCTGTTTTTATGGATTCTAAGAAAGAGGTAATATGTCCTTCATTCCTGATACATAAATTTCTTTCCTTCCTCTGAAATAATTTCTGATTTATTTAATGTCATAACTTATATTTGACTATAACTTAGATGTTGGAAATGCTGTATACTACCAAATTTTGGCCATAAAGGAAAAATTGTTTTTGAAAGCCATGTGTTAAAAACACTTGTCTTCCAATGGCTTAATCCTTTAGTAATTTCCACAAATGTTATCTCTGACTTAGACCCATTTTATAATTAATTGAGAAGAGACTCCAGATACCACCAGCAAGGTGCCTTTCTGCAGGCAGATACTATCCCAAGTTGTTTTCTGCTTAGTCATACTCTGTCTGGCCCTATTTCCTTAGACTTTATTTGAGTGTAGTGTGCTTATTTACTTTTACTAGACTTTTGAAACACACTAAGTCTATTTATCCTAAGTGGAGTTAATCGTAAGAGGCTCTGTGGGAGAGCTTAAACAGAGTAACAGCTTCATTTGGCAGGTGTGCTTGGATAGTGAAATTGTTATTGAAGGCCTGATATAAAATATTAATTTAACATTTTAATTCCTTAAATTACTTGCATACTTCTGCCAGATAGCAACTCATTTTTAGTAATTACATTGAGATCAATGCTGAACAATCTGAATAAAGCTGTATTTAAGCACTGTACTTGTAAACTTGTGTTAATGTTTCAGAGATCCCATCATTGTTGTTCTGTCTTTTAGTTGCTATCAGAAGTTTCTGGAGTCTTATAAAAATGCTCAGTTGAACTTAAAACAGATTTAAAGATGTTAGTTTTTTCTTCTTTTCTTACATACTTATCGAAAACTTTAAAGAAAAAGAAGTCAGTGTAATCTGTAGCAGTGATGTAGCTGACCCATAAATTAAAAAATGATTTTAACATAAGTGCAATCTTCTGTACACATACCAGGCCCAAATTTTACAACTAATATGTAGCACTTGGGGTGCACTGTGGCTCTGTAAGATAAGCACTGAGTTGCTACTACTAACCACCAGCTGCTCCTCGGGAGAAAATGAGGCTTTCTGTTCCTGCGAAGGTTTATAGCCTTGGAAACCCAATACAGAGTTGACTCACTTAACAATAACAACAGCATACATGTGTGGCTACTCTGTGGTGGCAGGGTTAGTCTATGTGTTAATCTCGTTAAAAGCATGTTACACATTCACTACATTTTATTTCCACCTTTACGCTGAGAATATAGTCAGAAATAAAAGGTTGGTATTCAATCACTTTCACAAAAATGGATGTCTGCATGAATATGCTCAGAATCTAATATGCAATGTTCTATTATAGTGTAAGTGAAGTTTGTTTACAAAATAATATTTAATATATTGAATTTATTTACATATGCAGAATACGGCATTTGTGTATGAAATCTGTGACTCCTGTTTTTCCAGCTCTATGATGAATAGAATGTTAATTGTAATTATGAAAAATGCAGATTATTGCTTCTATAGGAATATAATTATGAAAATAAAATCTGAAACCATAAATATAACTACTAGTCTCCTGACTTGTTTTGCTTTGCTTGGTAATTTTTTCAAGGATGTTGTTGTTAGGTGCTGTCTAGTCAGTTCTGACTTGCAGTGACCCTGTACGCAATAGAACAAAACATGGCCAGTCAGGTGCCATCCTCACAATTGCTGTCATGATTCAGCCCCTTGCTGCTGCCACTCTGTCAATTCATCTCATTGGCGGTCTTCCTCTTTTTATTCTTCTTGTTTTTTCACTCATACAATTTTATTGAAAAGCAAAAGTACAATTCAGAGAGAAATGCAGGTCTGTCTCCATGATTGGAGATGACTAGTTTCTTCTTTTTAAATAATGCTTTGCTTATTCAGGGTTTCTTTCTTTTAATACAAAGTTAAAGAATGAATCTTGGCATCTGGATTGGGATTGCAGTAAATCTATAGATTGCTTTTGGTAGTGTTGACATTTTCACAATGTTAAGTCTTCCTATCCACGAGTATGGTGTATTTCCCCACTTCTGATTTCTTGTGTTCTTTGTATAGGTCTTTTGTTTCTCTGGTTAGATTTACTCCCAAGTATATAATCTTTTGGGTGGCTATTGTAAATAGGTTTGTTTTCCTGATTTCTTTTATTAGTTCTCTACATTAGTATAAAGGAATCCAACTGATTTTTTTTTTAATGTTTTATTGTGAATTATGTGATAGTTTACATGGGGGAACATTAGTTTTACATTCATCCTATCATATATTGTTTCATTGCCATGGTTACAATCACCTCCATGCATTATCATCCAACCAAAGGGTACGCCCTACAATCCTGCCCACCCCTCAGCCCGCCCCCCCACTTCACCCATAGTCATCAGCACACAGCCTGTCTCCCTCTATGGGTCTAAAGTCCCCAGCTGCGCCATCTCTCCACGTCATCGTCTCTGCCTCCATCTCAGGCATCCCTGCTTCTCTGGGTAGAGTACCGCTCTCCGCTCTCTCCCTTCATGGTCCCAGGGACCTCCGGTCCTAAACTGAAAAATTAATCACTCCCCTCCTTGCTACAAAATGTCTACCTTTACATTTACAACCCTCACAATCAGTCCTGATAACAATTATTCACTGTTGTATCACAAGAGAACTATCCAAATTTCCTTTCATCAGTCCCACATAGACACGTTGGACACTACTCAGTGGAAATTCTACCTTCCTCCATGCCCTCTGGATCTAGGTTCCCTCTTGAAAGCTTGTAAGCCAGTCACTTCTTGCCTTTGTACCCCCCCCCCCCATTTGGGGATCCAATGTCCAAGTTGCCCATCCCTGTCTAATCTGTGTATGGAGGGGGGTGGGAATGATCCTTACTGTAAAGATTTGTTCCCTCTTTTGAGCTACTGCATCCATAGGTGTAAGTCAAATTCATCAAATTGTATCAGATTACTCTTTTTTTCTCTCTTCTTTCTTCTAGTTGACCTCTGATCATCCAGTCACTGAAGCCAGCTGAAGTGGGTATTATCTACCACGTGTGGGTGTTCTTGTGCATATGCCCTGTCTTCTTATCAGCTAGATGCTTCACTCTCCACTCTAGTCCTCTGTGGCTATGTCACTGACTCTGGGCCCAAGAGTCCCCAGGTCTTGCTACACTGCTGGCCAACCAGTTCTCCACCTGGGTTCACAGGAGTCTTGAACGTTGTAGGGCTTAGCTTGCAGCTTCATTGCTGTTTTTCCTCACTTCCGATAACGTCGGTGATGAACGTAGTCACCATTCAGAGCATGTATTCCCATTGAGTCTTAGAAGGGGGTTTACTCTGAGGGGACCTGACTCCTTGCCTTGATGTCTCCTGAGCAAGCAACTTGCTTGTTCTTATAGTAATCAGTCAGTCTGCCTATATTATTTTGTATTTTTCCTGTCGATCTTTCTTTCAAGACATATCTTCTGTTCATCTAGCCGCTCCAGGCTGGTCTGCCTGTCCTTTCAAGAGGACATTTCCCACCACTGAAGATTCTGGATGCTGTTCAGGATTCCACTTACAGTCTTATGTAATGCAGAGGCTCCGCAAGAAGCCTCCTTCACTGGGAACGTTGTAGCCCCATTTTAGGTATCGTAGTGGTTATGAATCGGCTGCGAGCCGCAAGGTCAGCAGTTTGAAACTACCAGCTGTTCCGCAGGAGAAAGATGAGTCTTTCTGCTCCTGTAAAGATTTACAGCCTCGGAAACCCTGTACAGGGTCACTATGAATTGGAACCAACTCCACGGCACATAACAACAACAATCAGTTAAAGGTAGAAGACGGACTTATAAGCTTTCTATGGTGATATTTCTGGCTATTCCTTTCTCTCCCCGTCCAGTGTCCATTTTATAATGTAATGCAAGGAAAACCAAGATTCAAAAGACAGCCAAGCATCTTAACATTATTTCCCCCTTTTTCCCATTCCAATCATGTCTCAATCCCTGTATCCCAGAGCCCTATTGTTCCAAGGTTGTGCATACATCATTATTTACCTCTGTCCCACTTAGCCCATGCAAACCTGCCTAATTATTCTACCATCCGCTTTGTTCTTCCATTCCCCTCTCCCTTTCTGTATATTGCCCCCTCCCCAGCACCCAAACTATCTGTCTATTCCCTGCCCTGTGCTCCACCTTTCCATCCCACACATCACCCCACCCCCACATCCCAGCAACCAACAAAGAATCACCCCCACCCACCTTTAGTATGGGTTCTTTTCCTTAGTCTTTTACAGTAGTGGCCCTATGCAGTATTTCTCCTTTTGTGACTAATTTCACTAAACATAATGTCCTCAAGGTTCACATGTTATACAGTGGCTTGCAGCTTCCTTGTTATTCTTCAAGGTAGCATAATATTCCATTGCTTGTATGTACCACAGTTTGTTTATCCATTCTTCAGTTGATGGGCACTTTGGCTGTCTCCATCTTT